GAGTCTCAATTTATTTTCAAAATGTCACCTCCACCAAAATTTACAACTCATTGTATCAGATGACAATAATAATTTAGAACAAATAGTTATGTTTTTCAACCACCTTCCAGAATGTCATGTCTGTTTTTACTAAAAATGCCTGTCTGAACCTTATAAAGCTAAAGATACTTTTTTATTTTGGGACCTGGGATCAAACTCAGGACTTGAGCTTGTGAGCCAGGCACAATGCCACTGAGCCAAATCCCTGGCCCAAAGGTACTACTACTTTTTATTACATGTCAAATTCTCACTAAGCTGTACTCCATTCATATATATATATAGTGTGTGTGTGTGTGTGTATATATATATATATGTATATATATACACTATATATATGCATGCTATGTATTTTATATACATATTTTCTGAGTATAAGATTAAATTTTTAAGTTAGGTTTGCTGGTCCATGCCTATAATCCCAGCATTCTGGGAGGCAGAGGCAGGAGAACTATAAATTCAAGCCCATTCTGGGCAATTTGATGACTTAATGAGACCCTATCTCAAAATAAATAGAAAGGGGGTAAGGACATAGTTCAGTGTGAAGGCCCTGGGTTCAGTTCCTAGTACTGAAAGAGAAAGCATGACACACATAGTATTTACATTGTATTAGGCATTACAAAACATCTGGAGATAATTTAAAGTGCACAGGAGCACGTATGTAGGTTCTATGCAAAGACCATGGCATTTTTTAAGTCATTGGAGCACCTGGGAATCTGTGCGTCCTCATGGTTCTTGGAACCAGTTTATTCTTGATACCAAAGGACAACTGTACTTACCCCTGGAGTTGTCACAAGCACTGAATGCACTGATACGTGAAAGCAATACAGTACCACCTGCTATATAGTATTATGTAAATCTTAGGTATATATTGCTATCGGTCCCTTCTCTCCCTCCCTTCCACCTTCCTCTTTTCTCTTCCTTTTTTTCTCAGCTCCAATGTCACTTCCTGTAGTTTGCACCTGAAATGTCCCCCAAATTCCCATGAGTTAAAAGCTTGGTTCCCAGCCTGTGGTGGGACCAACCTTTTGGTGGAACCATCCTTAAAAAGGTGGCAGTGAGGGGAGGAAGTGAGGTCATTGGGGCCGTGGCCTTGAAGGGGACTGTGGGACCCCAGCCCTCTCTTCCTCTCTCTTTCACTTCCTGGCTGCCATGAGAGGAACACCTTCCTTAGCCATGTGCTCACACCACAGTGAACCACACTGTCACAGGCCCCAAAGCAGGGAGTCAACCAACCATGGGCTGAAACCTCTGAAAGTGTGAGCCAAAGGAACCTTTCCTCTGTGAGTTGTTTATCCTAGGCATTTTGTTACAGTGTAGAAAGTTAACATGATGACTTTCTCATGACATTCTCAGGAGGCAAAGCTGTACCTGTCCCGTGCCCATCCTACTGTGTGCACATCTGCCTATTACAATCCTCTCCCTGGACCATGAGATTGCCCACAGCAATGACTGGTGGCACTGCTCTAAGCGATGCACTGGGACAGGGGTTGAATGCTTTTTCTCCTACCCAAACCCCCAGGGCCTGCAGGTCAGGTGGATGATGCTCTACATGGCCCCAGCACCGCCCCCCAAGCAGCCTGGCCAGCTTTGGGAGGTTCCAGGAATCCCAGAGAGCCTGTTCCCATCGCTTTCCACCTTTCCAGTTCCCTTGTCACCAATTTTCCAAACATAGACCTTTTTCACACTCCACTCAGGTTGCCAAAGAATTTGGGTGGAGCTGGCCTCATTGCCCTGCATCCAGCCAAGCCAGTGTGCAAAAAGCATTGGTCATTTCTCCCAGAAGCTCCAGAGCCCTAGAGCTGCTCTGTTTCACTTTTAAGGCAAACAGCAATTACTGAAAGATTGACGTCAACACTTTCAGTAGGCAGGAAGCCAGTTAGGCTGTGCACAGCCTAATGCTAATTAATGCCTTCTGCTGAACACCTGCCTGTAGGGGGAGCCTTGGAGCAAATAAGTGTAAACGCGGGGCGGGGGGGATAAGGAGGTGAGGAGCCATGTCCTGGGGTCTGGTTCAGGAGCTGCAGCCTCATCTGCTTTGGATGCAATTCTTTCCCAGCAAATCCAGGCCTTCCAGAGCCCCACCCCCACACTGCCTGGATTTTAGCCTCTGAGGCAGAAACAGCTCCACCCTGCCCACCTCCAGCATCTTCTAAACTGCTTTCTCCAGAGCCCTCATTGCAGTCAGGCAGCCAGCAGCACTCCTGTCCTTGTGATAGAAACTCACTCAAGGTGTGGAGCACCTCACTAGGCAGGAAAGAATATTAAGGTACATTTTTTAAAAGGAAAATTTATTGGACCTAGAAGATTTCAGCCATGAGAAAAATCTGATCTCCTGGGACCTTGTTTGTGTGCCCAGGGGCTTTCAAAAGAACCCCCAATTCTCCCTCGTACTTGTGGTTCTCACCTTTGTTTCCCAGCTAAATCCCAGAAACGCTTGATTTGTCTATGCAGAAATGATACTCTTTTTCTATAACCAGTCTTCTTCATGCAGCACAAAACAGGAGTGGTAGGCATCATTTTAACATGTGATGCTAGATTAATTCTGTTAGATTGTTTTCTGCAGTTGGCCCACCATATCTGTGGATTCTGCATCTGTGAATTCAACCAGTCATGCATCAAAAAATCCAAAAACAATAAAAATGTTGCATCTGTACTGACGTGCAAAGACTATTTCCTTGTCTTTATTCCCTAAACAGTACAGCATAACAACTAGTTATGTAACACCGGCATTGTACTAGGTATTATAATAGAGGTGTTAGTATACTAAGTATACAGGAGAATGGAAACCCTGCAGAATTGGTATCTAGGGGGCTCTGGGACAAATCTTGCCTGGGTACCAAAGGACAACTAGATGACACCAGATTTTGTTGTTACTAAAGTAATGCATCCAAAAGTTTGCTGCTCACTTAGTATGCTGCCATTGTTTCCTCTTGATGTAGGGATCATTTGATACTTCTGCTCTTCATCAGAAAGGTCAGTTTTAGCCAGGTATGGTGGTGCACACCTGTAATCTCATCACTCAGGAGGCTGAGGCAGGTGGATCGCTGTGAGTTCGAGACCAGCCTGGGCTACATAGTGAGTTCCAGGTCAGTCTCAAGTACATAATGAGACCCTGTCTCTAAAAAAAAAAAAAAAAAAAGAAAAAAAAAAAAAAAAAAAGAAAAAAAAAAAAAAAAAAAGAAAAAAAAAAAAAAAAAAAGAAAAAAAAAAAAAAAAAAAGAAAAAAAAAAAAAAAAAAAGAAAAAAAAAAAAAAAAAAAGAAAGAAAGAAAGAAAGAAAGTTTTACAGGTAGGCGCCATAAGCATGGTGCTTACTAACAAATGAGCTATTAAACCACTTACTCTGTGATGCTCTGTGGTTAGTCTAGCCCTGAAGACCATGCTGTTTCTACTCCACGGACAGTTCGAGTGTGCCAAGCAGGACACTAAGGTGGCTCCAGGATTCCTCTGCCCTCTGCTGCACACATACATTTTCTCAATTGTTCTATCAAACACTAATCTAGGCACTGTTATGATGGAATTTTACAGACCCTATTACAGTTCCAAATTAGCTGAATTTAATATAAGGAGATTGCCTGGTGGTGTGCCTCCTCAAGTCACAAGAGTCCTTTTATTCTGTTTGTTTGTTTGTTTGTTTGAGACAGCATCTCCCTATGTCATTCAGGTCGGCCTTTAAACTTACTGTGTAGCCCACGCTGATCTTGAACTCTCAATGATCTCACCTTAGCCTCCTGAGTACTGGGATCACTATGCATGCCACTATGCCCAGCTTCAAGAGGCCTCTCAAAGCAAAGGATTTTCTCTGGCTGGTGGTTGAAGACCCCATCCATTTGGAGCAGTCATCTGGGGTCCCACTCCTGATGAAGGAAGGGATAAGCACTGGCCCAGGCTGGTCAGCATGTGAGGCCTCATTCAGAGGACCCATCTGTCCAATAGACATTACAAGGTGCTTGTGCCGATTTGTGCTCTGAGTTTGCGATAACTTGTTAAACAGCAACAGGACACTAGCCAAATTCCTCTCAGGAGCCACAGGAATTGATTCCAGGACCCACAATTTTCCAGGGACCCAAATTTTCAGATGTTCAGATCCCAAGTAACACAGCATTTGCATAAAATATACACATCCTTTTATCTACTTTAAACATCACTTCCAGACTGCTTAAAGTACCTGATACAATGTAGATGCTTATAAATAGTTGTTACTGGATTATTTAGAAAATAACAAGGAAAACAGTCTGTATGTGTGCTCAATACAGAAGACTTTTATTCCCCAAATGTTTTTTATTTGAGGCTGGTTGAATCCATGCTACCCACGGATATGGAGAGTGGCTGCATTCGGTGTCTTCTTTGGTGACTGTCTTACTTCAGGCCCCTTAGAAGTAGACCCTGATGAAGGATTGAACTGAAGGTGGTGAGGATGCTATGAACCCTGGGAAGTCACAAAGGATTGTGGGGAGTGGAGCATGGAGAGAGCAGGGAACCCACCACAGCATCAAAGAGCAGTTTGCTGCTGTAGCCAGGGAGGGCTCCACCCAGGGGACCTGTAAGAGGCAGGGAAGGACAACCCAGAGCAGTCACACTGCGAGGCAGGGAAGCATGTCCTTGAAGAGTGAGAGCCCCAGGCCCATGGTGAGCCTGACAGTGTCTGCTGCACCACAGTGTTAGAAAAGTGCTTTCCGTCCACAGATATGAGGCTTTTAGCCTTAGGTCCTGGCGTGGCCCCTCTTTGATTGTGCCCTAGGTTGAGCATGCTGGCCTGGTGTCCCCCTCACTACCTAAACATTTCCAGTCCCTCTCAGGGCCCTGATGACACAGGGTTTGGAGTCCCTTCCAATTCAGAGGCACTGGATTCAGAGTGAGGGAAGAGGCCAAAGATGTTCTCTTTAATCATTCTTGCTCAGAGGCTTTCATGATGCTGGTCTGGCCACACCAGTGATGGGAAAGCTCCCTCACGCTGGTGACTCAGAGGAAGCTGTCCTCGTTCCTGGGGCAGCTGCTGAGAAGCATCTTGCCCTCTGCAGTGCTGCTGTTACTATGGGTCCTGGGGCAGGAACGGACCTGCCAGGTGAGCTCAGGCACGGTGAGGGGACGGTACTGCTGGTTGCCCCGGCTGGTGAGAGGCGCGAAGCCCAGCCAACACCAGGTGATTGAGGTAACCGTAGGTGGGCGAGGTCAGCTTCAGGGTGCGGAAGCAGATGTCATACAGGGCCTCCTTGTCGGTGGAGTAGGTCTCGTCCGTGTTCTCCACCAGCTGGTGCACGGACAGCGTGGCGTTGTAGGGCTCCACCACGGTGTCGGACGCCTTGGGCGAGAACATGACGCTAAAGGTGTTCATGATGCGGTAGGGGTACTCCTGGCGGATCTTGCTGATGAGCAGGGTGCCCATGCCCCAGCCCATGCCGCCCCCCCAGCGAGTAGGTGTGGCGGCCCAGCCAGCACATCAGGAACATGCCTGAGTTGGGGAGTGAAGATTGAGAAAGGAAAGAACACTGAAGCCTGAGTGGAGACCAAGAGAAGTCTGATTTATTTTACAGAAACAGCTCCTTTTAAAGGCTCACATCAACAAGAAGCTTTTAAGGGCACACAACAACAGAAAACACCAAGCAATCATTTTTATCTTTATGCAAAGATGGGATTTCCTGACTCTTACAGATAACATCAGATCTTCAGCTAACGAGTTCCTGTTATGGCAGGGTTAAAGAACAAGACAAGCTTAACAAACAGTGTCCTTGAAAAGTAACAAATGTTGCATAGATTGTGTCGATGCCTTAATTGTACAGGAAGAAGTTATTTTGCAAATGTCAAACTTCAGTGTGCCATGACTGGGCCCCCACAGTGGGTCAGCTGGAAGCCCTGGAGACAGTCACAGCTCTTTGACTCCCTCCACACCACATCCAGGACCGAGTCCACCAGCTTGGCGCCCTCTGTGTAGTGGCCTTTGGCCCACTTGTTCCCCACACCGCTCTGGCCTGCAGGGGAAAGGGAATTTCTCACTGTATCATGTGGACTGTGGGTGCGTTGGCCTAGCCTTAGATGACCTTTTAGGTAGTCTTGTAGGTATGCTTTTGAGACCTAAGAAAATTTTGTGGTTTATCAATGAGCCCAAGACCCTGAGGGAGACTACCAAGTAAGAAGGCAAATTGAAGAAGAAGCTGTGTCTAACAAACCCAGCTGCTTCTAAAATGAGGAACAGAGCATTGTGTGGATGCTCTGATTAGGTCCGATTAAGCAGATCAGAGAGGTCTGGCGCCATCGGAGGACAGGCTCTGTGGCAGAAGCTGTGCTCTTGGCCTCTGGCACCTTCAAGTGTTCACCTGCGCCCTCTGCTCCTTTGAAGTCCCCTGTACCTGTGAAGCCTGTGTAAGGCGTGTCCTGCTCTTTATTCTTCCTGTGGTGGGGCCACCACAGCCTCTGCAGGCTGACACCCATCTCTGAGCTGTGCAGACCAGGGACAGGGCCCGAGGATGCGAGGGTGTGGTCAGCAGGGGCCTCCCTGGACACAGTCTCAGCCTGGCCCTGAACGCTGAGAACCCTGCCATGCAGGGCTTCTAGGAAGGCCAGTCACCTGGCCAGCGCCATGGCCGAGACCACATACCGAACACAAAGTTGTCTGGCCTGAAGATCTGGCCGAAGGGTCCCGACCTGACCGAGTCCATCGTGCCGGGTTCCAGGTCCACCAGGATGGCCCGAGGAACGTATTTGTTACCTATGGGAACAAGAGCTGCCTTAGACCTGTGCTTGACTGAACATGCTGGGCAGGACCCTGTTCTATGTGGCTGTCATGGCCAAACCCAGGACAGAAATTGCAGCGGCTGAGACAAGGGGAGGAAAGTGCAGAGACTGAGCAAGACTCCTCTCCGCCCAGGGGCAGGAGTCTGGAGAAACAATCGTGTGTGTTTTTCTTGCAGTTGGCCTGTTCAGTGACTATGCAAGAAGCTTGTCTTTGCCATTTCCCGTGCCACGGGAAGGACAGCAAGGTGACATCAAATACTCACCAGCAGCCTCGTTGTAGTACACGTTGATTCTCTCCAGCTGCAAGTCGCTGTCGCCATGGTAACTGCCAGTGGGGTCGATGCCGAGCTCATCACTGATGACTTCCCAGAACTGCAGGGGGAAAGAGTCCCATGCTAGCCTGGCACCCTCCCTCAGAGGAAGCACGGCCTGGAGGAGCAGCAGAAGAGGCAGCGGCAGCAGCGGCGGCAGTCAGACAGGAAGAGTCCTGTCCAAGGAGCAGAGCCGTGGCCCCTGACTGCAGCAGCTGCTATGGAGGGGCTGGGCATCCGCGGAGGTCCTGCCATATCAGGCCACAGCCTGAAGGGCTGGGAGGGGCTCTGGGGGAGGGGGCGGCACAGCAGAGCCCCTTCCAGGACGCAGGAGTGCAGGCGCTGTCACTGCACACCTGGCTAAATGTTGCTGCATCCAGACATTGATGGCTCCTGACACAGACCCCAGGCAGCCCACACCCAGGCTGATTTCTATCCTGGATGTCCATATTGGCCTCCAGCCACTGACCCTGGAAGAAGCAGGGCCGTGCCTCTGCAGCAGTGCAAGAAGGGAGCCATCCTAAGTGTGTAAATGCCATCGTGAATGTGCAATAGGAAAGGGAGTAGAGAGAAGTCTTTGTCCATGAGTCCACCCCAAGCATTCACCCTGTCTTCTGCGTCTCCCTACAGAAGCCTGCAATTATAGACTCACCTGTCATCTGCTGCCTCAGAGATGAAAACAAAATTACCACATCTAATTTCCTCATCTAATCTGTGCCTGTGTTAGACTTTTTTCTAAGACCCTGCAGTCAGCAAATTCAGACTTAGATGAGGAAAACATAACCAAGAGCGCTGCTGCAGTCAGGACATGCTCTGTTCTCTGCACTCTGCAAGCCACCATGTCAAACAGGTAAGGATTTTCTTCACCAGGAATAGATGAGTGGACACAGGAGTTTGAAGAAGGGGAGGCAGACAGGTGAGGCTGAGCTTGAGGCAAAGCAGGTCACTTCCAGACACACTGTTCTCTTCAGTCCCAGATCCTGAGGCCATGCTGTGAAGGGGCACAGTGCACACCGGCATGCTTGGGGTGACCAACAGTTTATGCTTTTATGGTAAAAGTCACCGCACAGCCAGGCATGGTACATGCGCTAATCTCAGCACCCTGGTAGGCTAAGGCAAGAGAATCACAAGCTTGAGCCCATACTGGGCAGTTTCAGAATTTAGCAAGACTCTCTCCCAGAAAAGGAAGTGGTGGTGTACGACGCCTATAATCTCAGCCCTTGGGTGGCTGAGGCAGGAGGATCGCCAAAAGTTCAAAGCCAGACTGGACTACACTAAGACCATATCTCAACGCTACCCCCACCAAGTTAAAAAAAAATCGAAAAAGGGATGGGGCTGGGATATAGCACAATGTGAAGACCTTGGGTAAAAAAAAAAAAAAAAAAGAAAGAAAGAAAAGAGTCCAGTATGATAGGGGCTTTGGCTCACATGGCATCATTTCTTGTCTGTGGACTAAAGATATTCACCAACCTCTAGAGGGCTGCTATACAAAGTCAGCTGCATGGGTGGTGTGGTGAAGCCCAGGACCAACTCTGGACAGCAAGGATTCAGGGAGAGTCCCTGGGAGTAATACGGTGTGTTTTCAGACATGATTACTGTGGTGGAGAGGTGTTTACACTGTCCAGGACTACACTTGAACTAGACCTGGGTTTGAACCCCTCTTGGACTCTTCCTCCTGGGGTTGATTTCAACCTGTGTCCACTCCCTGCAGTGAACCTTAACCTTGAGCCAGTTCTGTGAATTTTTCTGGCAAAGTATTGAACATGGTATCAGAAGTGAGGGCAGTGTTCTGTGTGGACCATATCTGTTGACCTAGCTCACACAGAAGACGAAATGAGTACTTCCACACCGGACACTGAAGCCCCGCCCCCAGAGGTCTCATACTCATCTTCAGAATGCTGGCATCCACGCCTAAGACACAGGACATTGGTCTGTCCTTTTGGGAATAAGATTAGCTCAAGAGGAGACACTCAACGACAGTGACTGACTAGTTAAGTTTCGTTGTTAACAAAGCAAAACAAAAACCACCCACCATTTGGTGAGCACAGCTTTTCAGTTTGGCTGAGGGTTTTCTGTCCTCAGCCGGTTTATGTGGGGCTTGATGTTCTAGGCTTACCTCACCGTCATGTGTGGCAGTCAGCTTGAAGAGCACAGGACAGCAGCCCTGGTCTGTTGTCCACCTACTTAATGATGCACTTACTGTTCTCCAGCTATAGGCAAAGGCAAACCCAACTTACACATGCTTTTTCTACCTTTGCCTGTACATTTCCTAATGTTCCATCTGCTAAGAGATAAGACGAGCTTGATCTACATTTTGGAGAGTTACAAACTGATTGTAAGTGTCGATCATGTCTACAAAGTTCATTCACTGGAACAAATAGACTAGTATTTGACCAAAAGCTGAGCACCATAACCTCCTCAGGTTGACACACAGACTAGTCAGGACAGAGTGGGTACTCATTCTGTTTGTACACTAGCACTGATGGTCCCCAGAAAATAATCACATGGGTCACCCATAACTCAGTAACTCCTCCATGGTCTGGATGCTTTGCCCAGGGGTTCAGATTCCAGTTAACTTCTTCGCCTCTTTCTTAACAATGATCTGGCAGCCAAAAATTACTAGACACCCAAAGAAACAAAGGTAAAGACCCAAAGAAGTAAGGGGGGGAGATGTAGGAAGAAGAAAATATCTTTTTAAAAAAACCCATTTCTGGTTCAGTCTATGAAATAAAAATAAAATAATAGGAAAAATAAAATTCAAGAATTAAGAAAAAAAAAAAGGTCTTGGGAACTGTAAAATGGAAGAGCCCAAGTGAAAAGGTGGAGGAGCACTGGAAGGTTAGTCAAGCCAATCTCCTAGAAAGTACAGTGAGAAGGGAAGGGGACGATGAACAGCAGAGGAGCTGCTGTAGGAACCGGTAGAAGATGAGATGGGCAGATTGGAACTGGGCAGAGAAGAAATTAAGGGGAAAATCACCAGAACCTAGGAATCATCGAAATATATGTCAAGACAGATGACTGAAGAACATGCATTTTCAGATATTTTCTGCAATGGAATCTATTACCTCCTTATCTGAATGCATGATGTAGTTACTTTGAAATTAATTTGCTCAAGTCAGTTCCTTGGACTCAGAGAGATTTATACAGGAAGTATGGTGGAGACGAGAGGAAAGAGGATGGGGGAAAGCCAAGAGCTGGATTTTTCAGTCCCCTTAACGATCTCAGCTGACCCAAAGGGGTGCTCTGGAGTTCACGTGGCCCTCCAGAGATGCCCCAGGTTGTGGCAAGGGTACGCAGCCTTGTGCCCACCATGCCACGGACGACTCTTCCATGCAGGCTGTTCTGAGGAGCAGGCCGGGACTGTGGGTAAGGGTAAGGCCTCTCTCCAGCTGCAGGCAACTCTGAGAGGGGAGCACCCTGAAAGCTGTCAGTGGCCCTAACTGCCAGCAGCCAGCAAGGTGAGAAGCTGGGAGTGGTCTCGGTTGCCCGGCCCTGCCTGTGATGGACTATGGAGTCCCGGGTGCTGCCGCTGCTCACATGCATCTGCCTGGAGGTGTCCCCCTGTTGTCTTCGTTCTCCGTCCCTCCCACGTCCCTCTCTCATTGGGTCTGACCTTAAGGAGAGGAGAAGAGAGCACTTTTTATGAAGACCTTTACCTGTACTGCACCCAGACTTATCTGAAGAGAATCTAAAGTAGTATTTTTAATGCCCAGAAGTTATGAATTAGAGTATTTGCATCTTCAATGGCTTTTCCATTTACAAAAAATTGATCATCTAGCACCACATCAAGACCTTCCCTTACATTTTAAATTTCATCCCAGTTATAAAATTGAACTGACTTCTCCCAAACCATTTCTGTATCATGTCTGTACCCTGTTTATCCAGCGGCGCCTGTCAAGTGCAGCATGTTGGTGAGGTAGACAGGAAAGAAGGAAGGAAATCTACCCTGTGTGCCTCCTGGGTTCTGCAACCAGCTATGGTACTACACACACATACACACACACACACACACACACACGCACGTCTCCTCACTGTGAGGGAACCGGCTCAGGTGGGGTTGAGAAAATGCTTCCTGCCCCACCCCCAACATCACACAATGCCAGCAAAAACCCAGCCAGTGCATCTCCAGCACATTTCTAGAGTTCACATCCAAGCTGTTTCCTAGGCAACCAGTACCCAGCCTCCAGGACTGTCTGCATGGAGAGGGAGGAAGGGGGGAAGCAGCCCAAGGTCTACTCGCCCCCTCATTTCCTGCTTTCACAGTGCTTAGCCCTTTGTCGGGGTGTTAATGTGGCGAAAACAGAGAGCTCTAAAGCCTGTCCGTGGGATTCTGTTTCAAATGAGATGTTTCCAGTCTCTGAAGGACCAGATTCATTGAGAACCTTGCCTGTCAGAGCACTAAGCATGTTTCTATTTTTATTCACTCCCCTGCCTTTTTCTTTTCTCTCAGGCTTTTTGTTCTGGCAGCAAGGAATGAGTCCTTATTCACAGGGCAGGGGCCTCTGAGAAATGTCAGCATCTCTGCCCGTGGGAAAGGGCTCTGCAGGGTCCTCGCCAGTCCCAGGACCTGTGTGTGACCAGGAAAGGGACCTGGCTGGTATATCTGTGTGTCACATGCCTTGTCCATTCTTTGCTGGTTGTGTTCCACCCTGTGGGGGCCACTGGCATGTAAAGAGTTTGCTTTCCTGGACCCGCTGTGAGACTGGCTTAGACTTAGAGGAGGTAAGGATGAGTCCCAACAGTCCACTCCCCCACAGCCTTGATGGTTTGATCTTCATCCATCCAAAGCCATTCCTTAACCCTTTACTCGGAAGCTGAAACACACGGTGCTCTTACAAGCAGCTCCCTTCTGACAGAAATAGTAATGAAATTCAAGCTCATTGGCATTGCTAAAAGTCATCTTTCTTGGTAACACGATGCACAAGGAACACATTAGAAATGTCTGTGCCTGTCCTATCACATCTTCATTTGTCATTTGTCATTTCCAGTACCAAAGGTCGGCTGCAGTGTGGCCATTTGAGGTCAGAAGCTCCGCCTCACTGGGGGTCGCGGAGCCCAGGGGCGGCTCACAGTGGGTGCCATTGTGGAGGGGTGGGTGCCATTAGCGGCTGAGCATCTGACTGCTGGGCAAAAGTGCCTGGCACAGTGTCCAGACTTGAAGGGCACCGGGTCAGCTGTGTGTCCTGGAAAGGGTAGGGATGGGGCAGGGACAGGGCTTGGTGCCCAGGCAGCAGGGCAGCACCATCACGTACTCTCAGGGCACCAGGGCTGGCAGCTGGATGACACCAGTCCTACTAAATGCCAGAGATACGCTTCTTGGGGATGGTGGCTGCACTGCCCTTACAAAGGACTGTGTCTGTCCATACAAGGTGTGTGCTGGAGCTCTTAGGGGCCAAGGGCTGCGATTCTATAATCTGCTTTCAGGGAATTCCGAAAAAATATGTAGTGGCCGTATGCACACACATGCACACGCGTGTGTGCATACAAGGCAAAAAGTAACTGGAAGTTAGAGAAATGATATGCAAGGCTAACTGCTATTCTTTCAACTTGAAGTTTTAGTTAAATTTTTTTAGTTAAATTTTCAAAAATGGTTAGTGATTGGTTCAGGGCCTAAAATGTAAAACAGATTTCCTGTTAACTGGCTTAGAGTTCAAAATTAAAGTGAATGGTATAGTTGGTGACAGACAGTTTTGCCAGCTTCTTTGTCGTAAACATCATGTAGTCCAGACAGGATAGAATATGGTGAAAATGCTACCCTGCAATCCACCAGTTAAAGATGAATTCCATAAAACAGACTGGTGAGTTCTATTCATATCCTGTGTTGTGAATTTTTAGTACACACACACAGGTTATAAAATTGCTTTAAAACGTTCCTAAAATTGGCCTTAGTTTCTATCTCTGGAGCTCCTGTTCCTTTTGGTAGAAATAATAGCTGCAACATAGTCTGTGCAGGTTCTTCTTGGTCCATTGGGGACCCAGAGTCACCTTCTCCTTCAGTGACTTCTCACACTTTCAATGCTTAATTGTTTTTCTCATTCAAAAGAACGCTTTTCTCCGATGACCCCTCTTATGGCCGGAAGAGGAAGCATGTGCTATCTAGCGATTACTCTGCAAAAGTGGAGGACACAGCTTCTAGATCTTTGCATGGTTCTGCTTGTAAAGCCAAAGCACACGTCCGGCCACTTGTGCACAATTAGCATTAAATAATAGATATCATGTGTTTTTGCTACCTCTGCAATTATAACATGGATGTGTGGCCCAAATGGGTAAATACATGGAAAATTTGTGATGATATTGAACTCCCCTCCTGGACTCTGTAACCCTAAGGGCAGATGCAATGCCTGGTTTATCTTTGTAGCTCTACTATCTAGCACTATAAATGTTTGTGGAGTAAATGAATAACTGATAAAAGTAGAAAAATAGAAGGGTGATGATACTTGAATTCTGCAGCAACCAAATCATTCGTTGTACAATATGGTGTTTGTAGACTAAATTTATCAGATTGATGTCAAATGCTGGGGAAATAGTAGGCTATATAGAACTATAAGTGTATAAAATATATAACATACGGTGATATAAGCAAGGTGTAGGTGGTGATGTACATAAATGAAACTAAACAGTTCATGTCAGTGGTAGAATTTGGGATAGCATTTTTAAAATAAAAATAATTTAAATCTGGGTATTATCCCTGTGGGCAAGCAAACTGAGGCTCTTTTTACAAATAAAGGGAAGAGCACATAGGGAGAATTACTTAGTTCTCTTCATGTGGAGTCCAGACCTAAGGAAGTGCGTGTTTATTCTTCTAGATGGATGGGGGGGTGAGAAATGCTTACCTTAAGGAGATTGGGAGCCCCCTCCTCGGAGCCTAGTGCTTTGCTTTGTGACGCCGAGGCAGCCAGGTGCACAAATGCAAGCAGAGTGCCCCTCGCACAAGGAGCGTGCACGTGAGAGAAGCACCGGGATCAGCCGGAATCACAGGAGTGTCTCCAGTGGTCTGCCTAGTGCCTCGGAAGCCGTGCACTTGCACATCTCACAGGCGGGAGTGGAAACGCCCACCTGCAGACCTGAGAGGCTCCTCAACTGGGAACGTTCCTGCCCTAAACTTGGTTGCATTCATTGCACTGTGAGAGATTTCAAATTCATCCTCCCTCAGTGACTTAGCAACATCACTCCTCCTCACTGATAATTAAGAAGTACAAATTAAATGCAAGGGGATATCATTTTTCATCAAGTTGGCAGTGTTTTTAAATTGCTGTTCGTTGCTGGGGAAGGTGAAGTTTTAGTACACACACTTAGGTTATAAAATTGCTTTAAAACGTTCCTAAAATTAGCCTTAGTTTCTATCTCAGGAGCTCCTGTTCCTTTTGGTAGAAATAATAGCTGCAACATAGTCCCTGCAGGATCATCTTGGTCCATCCGGGGACCCACAGTCACCTTCTCCCGCTGTGACAGTCCTAGGAGGCAGATGCCCTGGCGGCTGGAGAGAGCAGCGGCCTGCGGGCCTCTGTCTGTGCCGGGGCCCGAGGAGCGTCCGCCATAACGTTCCTGCCAACCCGAGATTCACTGTTGCTGCCCTTGAGCGTGGGATTCCTGGTTTCCCAGCTTCTGTGTCTAGGGTCTTGTGCTAGCGGCCCTGGAGGCTCCTGGGCCTTTGGCCTCCGACTGAAGGCTGTACGGATGGTTTTCTTGGTTCCGAGGCTTCCGCTTCTTGGACTGAACCATTTGTGCCATCTTTCCTGGAGCTTCAGTTTACGGAGGGCCTGTTGTGGAGCTTTTTACTCTCTGATTGCGTGAGTTGTTTTCCTAATCCGTGTACCGTAGGTGCGTGGCTGTGTTGGTTCTGTTTCCCTGGAGCACCCTGAATAATACGTATCTTATTTTTTTCTGCACTACCATTGGCACAGAAACTGTTGGGGATCTGTGGTTGGGAATGCCACTCCCCAGGACCTAAGACAGAGACAGAATTCGGACCCAGAGTTTGTCAGCCAGGATGCTTGTGGCTACAAGTAACAAAAGTCCCACCTCCAAGTGCTTTAATAATAAGGAACTTATTACCTCACAGAACACAAACACAAGCACTGTGGTCATCAAAGTGTGGCCTGGTGACCCCCAGGGAAGCCTAGAAACCTTTCCAAAGGATCTGTACAAACAGAATTATGTTCCAAGTGCAAGGCTGACTTTAGTAGAGAGAGCAAAGGTCAGTATTTATGGACAAAGTAAAGGCTCATAACGCGAAAGTTTTCATGCCATATCAGCAGACTGGGGCCACTGTATGGCCCACAGAGTGGAAAATGGTCAGTCACTATGTGGTTCTTTGCTGAAAATATTTTCTATCGCTGCCACAGAGCATACAATATTTTTGAAGATAATTTCAGATTTCATACTGTAAATAAAGTCTAAGAAGCTATCACTTGTTACATTTTAAGGGTAGTATCAAACAAGAGATCTAGGATCATCTGAATAACAATCAAAACACTCCTTTTTCTGCTTCATAACTGAGGTCACTTTTTTTTTATAGAAGTCAACTCAAACAACAGACTGAATGCAAGAGCAAATAGGAGGACCCAACTGTGTTGTGTTAAGCCAGACATTAAAGCAATTTCTGAAAATGTAAGGTACAATTACTATATCATTGGGTAATTTTTTTCACAAAGATATATTTATGGCATTGTAGAATGGGTTTATTTTAGTAAATTAAAACATTTAAAATTCTCTTGTTTGCCATTAATTGTATGATAAGTGTGGATAGATACAATCTACTTCCTGGGATCATCAAGAATTTTAAAGGGTAAGGGTTTGAGACCACACAGTTTGCAAACATGGCCCACAGCTGAGCAGGGACTGGGAACGTGGCCGAGTGGAAGAGCACGAGGCCAGCGAGCCCAAGGGCCTGGGTTTCACCCCAGTATCACAAAAAATAAAATAAAATAAAATAAAACCTAGAGCCGGGCAGTTGTTTGGGGTTGGATGCTCACAACCCAGCTGTTCCCTGTCCTATACTGTCTCAGCACCTGGGGTGTTCTTTTAGGAAGTTCCCCTTATGGGGCCAGATGGCTGCTGCAGGAATAGTTCCTGGACATCACAGGGCTTCAGAGACAGAAAAGACACTACTTTTGCCCAAAAACTGAAAAAAAAATATAACATTTTTAATTTATATATCGTTATTACATATGTGTATGAGGTACAGTGTGATGCTTTTATATATGTGTAAATTGTATAATGATGAAATCAGGGTTATTGGCATCTATCACCTTAAACATGTATCATTTCTTTGTGGTGAGAACATTCAAATCCCCTCTTCTAGTTATTATGTGTGACACATATCACACCATATGATGCATATGGGTATTGTTGTCGCGAGCCGCTTGCCAGCAAGAAAGCACGCAACACTCAGGATCCTTCTGAAGCTTCTTTATTATCTTACTCCTGCTAACTATATTAACTCGACAGAAACAAGAAGTTACAAGATCACAAATAAAGCACATTCCGATCAATATCAGGGGAACAAACCTCAGGGAGCAGCCATAAAGGCAATGTTGACATCCCAGAACAAACATCTTGTTCAAGGATGACTTACACAAGGAACTTCTGTAAATAAACCACAATCCCAACACAGCTCAGCAAACAGGACACTGAAATTCCTCACAAGCTCTTTTGCTGACAATGACTTGGCACTGTCTGCAGACCAAAGCACTCCACATATTGTATCTGCTATAGTTATTGTATATGCACCTGTTATGGTTTATACCTAGGCATCCCTCGAAAGCCTTTATTATGTGCTCATAGGCGGGATTTCTGGAAGATGGTTGGACAATGGGGGCTTCTAGCAGATTGCTGTTTGGGGTGTGTGGCCTGGGCATGGCTCTGCTTCCTGGGTGACATGAGTTGGATGGCTTTTCCTCTCCCATGGGCATCTGCCCTGCTGCCCTGCCTTGGAGCCACAGAACACAAACCCAAGACCTCTGTGAACTGTGAGCCAAGATAATACTTTTCCTTCTTTCATGTGCGAGCATCAGGTCCTATGCCCTAGCGATGTGGAGAGTAACTAAGGCAGCACTTTATCATTGGTGCCTGGTCACTTTGGTGCACAGTGGAGGACCGGAACCCGTTCTCCTGCTTGGTCTCTGTTCCTTGAGCAATCTCTCTCCAGCCCTGTCCCTACCCTCTTCAGCTCCTAGTGAACAAGCTCTATTCTCAACTTCCATGAGCAACTTTTTGATTCCACACATGAGTAAGTTCAGGAGATATTTGTCTTTCAACAGAGCAGTCCACTCATCCCAGGGCTACTTCACAATTCCCCCAGGGGATGCCTGACACTGAGGGGAGCACCAGTCCTCAAAGATTGTGCTGTTTGCTGGACACATGTACCTAATATAGTCTAATTTATAAATTAGGCACAGTAAGAGATTAATCATAACAGCTAATAAAAGTAGAACAAATGACAATATACTGTAATAAAATCTACGTCATACTTGTGAATTATTTATTTCTGGAATTTTTCATTTAATGTTTTTAGCCCATGGTTGACTTCAGATAAGTAAAACCATGGAAAGGGGTGAGGAGTACAATGGCACTAGAATAAAAGCTGCTATGGGATCAGTCTGACAGTATTGAATCCAAGGGAGAGTTATGCTGATCTACAGGTAAATTCACTGCCTATAAGAATGAAGACTGATGCTCATTTAAAAAAGACAACGAGCCAGGCGTGGTGGCCCATGCCTGTAATCCCAGCACTCAGGAGGCTGGAGCAGGAGGATCGCTGTGAGTTCAAGACCAGCCTGGGCTACATAGTGAGTTCTGGGTCAGTCTCAACTACATAGTAAGACCCTGACTCAAAAAACCAAATGAAATAAAATAAATAAAAAGATGACAAAATTCAGAAGTTGAACATTCAAAATGTCAGCCCCAAGGTACCAGAAATGCAATGAAATAGGGAACTCTGACCCATCACGAGGGAAACAACCGAGTTAACAGAAAGACATCCAGAAACACAGAGGGAAAAATAAATTTAAAAAATCACTCATATAAATATAATAAAGGATTTAAACTAAAACATGATCATAATGAAGAGATAAGTGGTAGCTGTAAAAATAATAGATATTATAGTATATGAATTATATCTCAATGAAAAACAAACAGGAAACTCAGCTGAAGACAATATCTGAAAGAAAAAATTTATTGGATGGTCCTCACAAAGGATTAGATCATGAGGGGAAAAAAGAAGGAAAAAGAGTAATTTGAAGATGTGGCAATAGAAAATATTAAATTGAAGCACAGAAAACAAGATGCTTGAATAAATGAAAATATCCTCCCTTCTCGGGACAATATGGAGCATATAAATAATTAGAACTCTGGGAGGAAAGAAGAGGAAGAGTGGTGGAAAACTTTTGAAAAAATAAGAGCCCCATTTTTTCCTGTTAGATGAAAAATATCTATATATCCATTGAAACTCCAGCCCAGCCAGATAAACAAATAAAACCGCAGTAGTACATAATAGAAACATATTATAGTAATTTAAATTTTAGCCAGAGAAATTAAGCAAGAAAAATAAATTAAAAAGGAGTGTAAACAGAATGGGAAAGTCACCCCACTTGCACGTGATATGAACCTTCGTATTGAAAGGCCTAAAAACTCCACAAGCAGATCCTGAGATTGGATAAACAAATTCAGCAAAGTGGCAGGATGCAAAATCAACACACAAAAATCAATAGCTTTCCTTTTTACCAATACCGAACCTACTGAGAAAGAAACCAGGTAAACAATCCCTTTCACAAAAACTTCAAAGAAAAAACAAACTATGCAGCAATCAACCTAACCAAGGTGAAAGGCCACTGTAGTCACAGTGACAGAGCACCAAAGAAAGAAATTCAAAATTGCCACGACCACTCCAGTGGAATCTGCGTGACAATGCCGACCACCTGGCAGAAACCAGATCTGAGGTATCGTCCCCTCGGGGTCAAGCCTCCTGGAGGTCCTTGGCATGCACCGCATTAAAAGTCAGCCAAAGAACGAATCGTTGGTTTCTTCGCCTGCAGCTTGGGGACAATGGGTTCTGTTACAATTTTGATTTATTTTCTATTGATCTCTGTGTGTTTGTGTTTTTTGAAAATGCCTAGTGATTTTCAAGAAGGAGAAGGATTAGACGTACCCAAAGATATGGAGGATAAGAATGTCACTGTTTGGACACAGCCTTCTCAGTCAAATAATAACTGAACAGAAGGTGCATTTGAGGGGAATATTTCTTTTAAGGAAATAGTTCTCAGGAAAATAGCATGTAATGTTACAGACGTTACTGATTCTTCATCAGAATTACCATATATTGTCAAACATCTGAGAAACAATGAATCATTGAGGAAAAAATGGCCACTGGCATATTATCAGCTAAGATGGAAAGAAAGCTTAAACTCCTGCTAACTTTTCACAATGTATTCTATAATGATGTATTTGGCAGGCGCCAAGTCAGCAAGCGGAAATAGATGCCTAGAGAGATCAGCTCATTGCCCCTGACTTGCTATAAGGAAATAGAAATCTGTATAAAAGAAGCTCTTTGAAAAATAAATTTTGCAGCAGCATTTGCCAACTTCACCTCAGTGTTGAGTGCTTTTGTCTGACTGTCATCGCCGAAAATGCTCCCACCTTTCAGAGAACCTGTATCTCCTCGTGAAATCCCGTGTTTGCTGCCCTACGGTCGGTAGCACAAAATGACCTTAGAAATTGGGAAGACCTCTGTGTTAGCTACCGTCACTGGGATGAGCCGCCTGACACCTAGAACTTGAAGAGAGGATTTTTCCCCAGAGGCTTCAGCCCAAGGTTGGCTGCTCTAAGGCAAGATCATCATGGTGGAAGAGTATGGTGGAGCAAAGCTGCACCCCCCATGGTGGCCAGGAAGCAGGGCACCGGGAGAGCACTACCAGGAGGTGCCTCCTCCAATGGCTGCCCCCAGTGACCCAGTGCCACCTGGATCCCACCTGGATCCCACAGCAGACTTTGGGAGATGAGGAAGGGAATCAAAGGGAGAGGGTAGTGGGGATGAAAATGATTAAAATATATCATATGTATATGCTGGCATGGCAAAGAAAAGCTCATTATTCTATACTACTAAGACAAATAAAAACAATCAAATCGATGGGTTCTGGTAACAAAGAAGCAAGAGAAAAGGCATAAAGAGAAGAAGAGCAATGCTGCTGATTTCTTAAGGCAGTGTGAACAAGGAGATGACGAGTGACATCTGAAAGTGCTGAAATAAAGCTTACCTAGGGTTCTTTTTCTTTACTTATCTTTTTTGGCTTTTTGAGACAGGGTCTCACTATGTAGTTGAGACTGACCTGGAACTCACTCTGTAGCCCACGCTGGTCTCGAACTCACAGCGATCCTCCTGCCTCAGCCTCCCAAGTGCTGGGATTACAGGTGTGCACCACGCCCGGCTGACCTAGGATTCTAAAGGAGTAACACAGTCTTCAGAAATGAAGGTGAAATGGTGAAATGGTCTGCGCTACAAGGAGATGTTAAAGAAAATTCTTTGGACTAAAGGAAAATGAGAGCAGAACAAAACTCAGATCTATATGAAAGAATGAAGAACACTGGAAATGGGATCTCTATGGGTAAATTTAAAAGCAAGAATGGGGAGGGATGGGGAGCAAAACATCTGCACCCACAGGTACCCCTACAATTGGGATCCAGACCCAGTCTCAGAGTAAAGACCTCAGCACCTCCAGAGATGAGTGAGTGGCCAGCAGGATTACCAGCTTCGTCAGAGTTGAGACTGGCCAGCCCTCCAGACTCCAGCTAACTTCCACAGCATGATGCCCTGTCCTCTCCACAGCCTGCCTAGTAGCAGCTTGGCCCTGACCTTGGTTCTTTTTCTGACCAATTTGGAGTCTACAAACCTTCTCCTTCCCTGTCCCATAATTTAGACGCTAGCCTAAAGGCTGTTCCTTGCTCACACAAACAGGAAGAAGGGAAGGACTGGCCAGTTTTCCCACACTGCCAGCAAGTAAGCCGTATGGAAATTGTGACATCGAGACCAGGTCCTCTGTCAGGCTGTACTTCTGTCGCGTTGCATAATGTGTGCTATGTGCACTGTGAGCTGATACTGCTGGGTTTCACTTTTACCTTAACATGGCCACCCTAGGCGTCTCCAGAAAATGTGTTACATGAATGAAGTGAATGAAGTGAGAGCTGGGATGTTCTAGCCCAGTGTTGCCACCCACAGTGATTCACAGATGACCTAGAAAGTTGATCAAACCAGTTAGTCTCTCTGATTCCGGTTTCTAGCCCTCATCTCTCCATCCCATCACAGCCAGATAGTCCTTGGCAAGACATTACTGTATGTTATGGACTGAATGTTGTTTCTCTACAAAATTAGTATCTGGGAATCCCAGCCTCCAAGGTGATGGCTTAGCAGGTGTGGACTTGGAAGGTGATTAAGTCATATGGGCAGAGCTCTCCTGAGTGTTTAGAGGGCTCCCCAACCACCTTCTGTTGAGTGAGGATGCAAGGACAGCAGTCATCAACCTGGAAGAGGGTCCTCACCAGAACTAACCATGATGGCACCCTGATCTTGGAGGTCCTTTCTTTGTAAGGCACCAGTCATCTGTGGTACTTCCTTCTTCAAAATGGACTGAGCCATTTCATATAGGCTGAGTATCCTTATCCAAAATGTTTGGGACCAGAAGTGCTTTTGGACCTCAGATTTTTAAAAAAAAACATTTGGGTGTACATTAATTAATGTGGAGTCCTGGGGATGGAATCCGAACTCAAACACAAAATTCATTTATGTTTCATATCCCATTATAGACTGAAGGTAGTTTCATAGAATCCTTTACAATAATTTGGTGCATGACACAAAGTTTCATGGTGTGGAATTTTCCACTCATGGCACCATGTGGATACTTTAAAAGTTTCAGATTTTGGAGAAGTTCAGATTTTAGATTTTTTTTGATTAGGGAGTTTTGATGACCATGTCCCCACCCTGTTCAAAGTCACAACTGTGTTCTGAGTTATCCTTGCTTTACCCTAACAGCGGCTGCCCAGGTATTTGCAGTGAAGGCCCAGGGCTGGGGAACAAGGACAGGAGCTGAGGGTCAGAAGAGACGCTGGGCCAGCAGGAAAGACGAAAAGCAATGGCTCACTGTTGCCTGTGTAACTTAAGAATAATTCTCATTTCAAGCAATTGAAATGAAAAAGCAACACATTTCCAAGATATCAGAAATAGATTGCCTAGTCTCCATTTCCCCTCTCCTTTCCAACACCCTAACATACCTAGTCCTTCTTCATCGCAGCCTGAGAGAGTTTCATAGAAAAACGTTTTTATTGGAAAGCTGATGACTTCAAACTTTCATTGTATTACATTTTGGCTGGTTCTATTTAAAGACATAGAAAAGTATCTTTGTTTTTGTTGTTTGCGTGTGGTTATTTAATAGGGGGATGTGAATTTAAGAGAACCAGAGAATCAAACATTTCCTAAAACCTTTCTCTCATAAAAAGAAACTGGACCTTCAGCAATTTAGTGACATAGAAGTGAAATGTAACAGCAACTGCCATATTAGGAAGGATTCGTCATTCCAAGCCCTGAGCAACACTAAGTTTTAGAAGCTGCGAAGTTTGGAATTTACTTTTTAACTCATTATACCCAAAGTTTTGAGGCGTCCAGGGTGGGAGCAGACCACCCCTGGCACACACTGTGTGTCAGGGTAACGTGGCTCCGGTAGACATGGGTGATCCGTGTCTGTCCTCTGGTATTCTCCTCACCGGTCCTGCCAGGACTTTAATGGGTTCTCTCTACAGCTGGGCTGTGACCTGCTCCATACACCGACGACGGCACACTCGCCCTGGAACACTGCTTGTCCCTCAGCAGCCTTTAGCCCCGCCCTTCGCGAGCTGCCCTTAAGCCCGAGCTAGTGATTTGGAAGGAGGTCAAGCGCGCTGGCAGGAGTTCCTGGCAGGAGTTCTTACGGGGTGCACGTCCGTCCCTGCGACCAAAGCGGGGCTCACCAAAGACTTGTTGGTGGGAAATGACTGAGCCATTTCTCTACACCAGGGAAACTCTGAGTCTAGTGGAGGAAGACGGTGGGAGAATTTCCATGTAAAACTACCAGAACCAAGGGGCAGGAAATCCACTCGGGTTTGGAGAAGATTCCCTGAAGGAGTGGTGGGAGCCTCGCACTGAAGGCGGGGAAGGAACCGTGAGACCAGGGCTCCTCCTCCAGGGAAGAGTGGAGGCAGCGGGAGAGGGCAGGAGCTGAAGCTCCTGGACTCTGGTCAGTGGCTGATTAGGGAGTGGAGACAGAAGAAATATTCCTAGTAGAGGACAGAGCCTGAGACAGGACAATGGTAGTGAGGGCTAAGTTTGCTTTCAGGGAATTTGAGCCAGCTCAGCCATAGAGCCTGTACTCAGCTTGGGTCCAGACCTCAGCACCAAACCCAGAGAGAGCAATAACAAGCTCTACTGGGCACTGCGTGCTGCGTGCTGGGAAACGGGGTCAGGCTCTCTCACCTCCACCTGCACCCTGGCGGCCGGAGGAAGCACAGATCGGAGTTTTTCTTTATGGAGTGCCTGCAGGTGCTCAGTAATATCTGCTGGTTGAATAGTAAGTGCAAAGGAGGGAAAAAGTCCTTATTAGACTTAATAGGCTGGCAGCAAACATGTAGCTTATGAAACCCTTGGGACAGGCGTGGTGGGGGAGCGAACACAAAGCTGCCCTCCCACAGTCCCTGGTTTCATCTCACCTTTAAAATGCTGAAGTTGCCGGGAGAAGATGACTTGGGGTGTCTGGAGCACAGTGAGTCACGTGAGACAAAGTGTGCTGACAGCAGCACCCTCTGCCCACTCCTGCAGCTGGCCTGGCCTCAGGGTGTCCTGTAGGGTTTCTGGCCCCACCCGTGGTCCCCTGAGTCAGAATCTACACTGCAGGGAGATCCTCCGCCAGGAGTAGGCACCTAGCCACTCACAGAGCAAGGTGAGGACTCAGAAGCTCCGCCCAAAGTTGGGAAACCTCAGGAGAAGCTGGTGACTGACGAAAGCTGGGGGATCTGAGACTCCGAGTTTTCCAGCCTCCCTGGCTGGAGATTAAAATTAGGGTCACACAAATACAGGCTTGAAAAGCCCCAGCAATTGGGGTTTCAACCTAATACCTTGGAGTTCCCCAGCGTGCCCTCTTCTCACTCAGAAACACGTTACACTGCATTTTCCTGAGCCGTGCAGGGGCCGTGTTTCCAGGGCACTGCTTGGAGGAGACTACTGCACTGCCTTTGATGCCATCAGCAATGAGGCACTCACGGCTGGTGATGAAAGCGGGGCTGCATCTACCTGCTGATCACCTGGGCCAGAGGGCAGGTCTGCTTCCTGCTCCAGCAGCACACAGAATGGTTAGCAGGAGAGCTCTTTTTTCTTGTTCATTGCTGGGCACATGAGCTAAAAGCTGAAGAATCTGCTCAGAGGAGCTAGAAACTCGGCGAGTGGTTTGAAAAAGAGCTAAGAAAACGAAGGGGTGTGGTGATGGCCCAGGAAGTCAGGGGCTTCCAGGGAGGCCGTGTGACCTCCAGCTTGGACGCTCCAAGCTGTGCCACTGGAACAGCTGGGGGTCAGAGAAGGGGGCAAGAACAGAGGAGAAAGGCCAGCCAGGGCCATAGACACACAGGGCAAAGTGCTGTCATTTTGCCCCAGCAGGGTCCCCCGAAGGCCAATATGCTAAAGGCCTGGCCTTCGGCTTGGTGCCACTGGGAAGTGAGGGAAACTGTTAGAGTTGGGGTGCAGCCAAAGGAAGTTGGGCCACTAGGATGTGTCCTTGGGAGACACGGGGCCCATCTTTGTCCTGTCTCTTTGCTTCCCAGGCCAGACCCATGAGGCCTCCACAAGCTCTTCTGCCGTGATGTTTGGTACAGCCACAGGCCCAGCGACCATGGGCTGAAACTTCTAAAGCCATGAATTGAGATGCACCTTCCTCACTGGCCCTTGGTGGGGCAGATCTAGGGAAGCCTCTTAGCTCATACTGCTCTTTCTCCCACCTGCTGGTCTCAGCACTATGCCAGGGCCCCTGGCTCTGGAGGAAGCCACAGTGATGTGTGAAGGACATACTGCAAGTTCCAAAGAAAAGACAACCATATATTCTGTCCTTTTGAAATGTCCATGCAACCCTTGAATGATTGAATACACCATTCAACACTGACAGCAGGAGGACGAGGAGGAGAAAAAGAAGACAGGAAAGAAAAGGGGGTGGGAAGGACAAGGACAACTCATGAATAGAAGCAAGACACGCACTTGTGCCCTGTAATGAGTGAGATCTGTTCACAGGGCAGTGGGCATAGTGGCCTGCTCCCTCCCCGTGCCAGCACAGTCAGCCCCTTGGCCTTTTACAAGAACATCCTCTCAAAGGGCATGCTCATGTGCGATGCCAGCCAGGGGACAGCCCACGAGCTCTGGGAGGGATGGCACAGTGAAGGGTCGGGATGGACATCAAAAGTCAAGAATGCAGTGTGGCTCCCCGCAGGCTCCTCTGCTGGTGGAAGAATGAAGGCTGTCATCCATCCTCTCTCTCCGGGAAGGAGGAGAAGTGGGATTATACCAGGCAGCAGCCAGACTGTCTTCCTCCCAGAGAGCTGTCTGCATGGCCAGGGGAAGAGAAAGGAAATGTAGCTCAGGGCTAGAGCACAGGCTTAGTATGCATAAGGCATAAGACCTTGAATTAGGAAGACAAAGACAGACAGAAAGAAAGAAAGAGTAAAAGAAAAGGGAAAAGGAAAGCAATGAGAAGCACCAGTTCTGTAGAGGAGATGGCACTAATGTCCTGGCTACATTTTCTTTAATGTTTCAAGAGCCATCGTTTAAGTCCATCCTCTCACAAGAAGCTCCTGGTGGTAAATGTGTGGCTTCCACTGGATGTTCCAGTTTTCAGAGCTGTGAAGGTTAATTCCTCTATGAAAGTTGCCCTGATGGCAAGCCGAGGAGAGAGAGTTGATGTCACCCTTGGCGTCCACAGCATCTGCCACAGCGGGACTCTCCCTACCTGTTTGTCTCCCTGACCAGCTGGGAACTCCCAGAAGCCTAAAGTGTGTTTGCCACTGTTGAAGTCCTCAGCGCAGGACTGGGCACATGGATGTGAATCAGCAGACATTTGTGGAAGTCAGTGGGCCTGGAATAGGGATGTGACAGCAGGAACAGTAAGAGCCAGGAGACTAGAGATGACCTGATTCTGGGATAGATGGAAGACAGTGGCAGTGGGGTCCCAGTTTGCATCTCCTTGAACCAAGTCCCCTCATTTCTCCCAACCCGCAAAGTAGACTGAGGCATGAACTCTAGCTCCAACCAAATGAAGTTCCTTTTCAAGGCAAGAACTACAAAGGGGAAAATTCTAGGAGCCAATTCCACAAAAAGTAGGACAGGATTAGTAGCAGCAAAGGAAAGAGAAGATCCAGGTACAAACCAGGGAGGGAATCAGAAGAAGCAGGTAATTTTTGTTAAAAAATAAATAAATAAAATAAATCGCTTTCTGAAAGCAACAGAAGGGGGAGCTATACAGCCACTGCAGCTCTTAAACTTCTGGAGGCCTCTCCTCACCGCACAACTACAGAAAATTCATTTTACTTAAACATGAGCAACCCGGACTGGAGGTGTGGCTCTGTGTGAGGCCCCAGGTTCATCCCCAGAGCCAGCCAAAGAAAACCAAACCGAACTGACCCAGAGCAACACAAAAGAATCACGATCAAATCCATACAAAGGTGAGGGACAGAATGAACAACGCCTGTTCAAGTGACGCAAGTGTGCCAGAGACAGGACAGATCCGAATCGGTGAAAGCAATAGCCTAAAGTATTGGAAGCATAAAAATCAAGAAGAGGATAACAGGCATGGAAAGAGTAAATAAAAATTAGAAAAACTCTGAAACGAGATTCTTGGGGAAAAGAAGTATCTGCAAAAAAGGTGGAAGAACTCGAGAAAGATAAAAATAAAGCAAATAATCACAAATGAAGTAACAGGCACATAAGGAGCAAAGAAGCTGCACAGATTTTGCCACAAGGGAATTAGTAGATGGAAAGAAAGAAAAAACTCTTAGTCAAAGGGAAGGAGAGGAAGACTTCGTCTTTCAGCCAACATGGAGCCACGGGAATCACATTTATCTTCCCTGCTGAAACAGCTGAGCTGGGAAAAGGACGGGTGACCGTGGTTCCCAGGGTGTCCGTCACCAGGCCCTGGACCAAGCGAGTCCCGAGAAAGGGGGACAATCGAGTGGCCCTGGGATTTCCCCACTGTACTATCCGGAGGCAGCTTCCACGCTGCTGTGCAGGAAGCTGGAACTAAACTAGAGCTCCGTGTTCTCCGCGAGTGGAAAAGAAATTAGAAATCACACAGCGCCTAACTCCGCTGGAACCGAGCAGAATGCAGGCTAGAAGGAACTTCACAGAGAGAGCGGTGCAGATCACCAGGCAGATAGATCCTGGGCAGGCTGTGCGGAGAACGATACGCATGCGCAAAATAAACGGGGGGCGGGTAGGATCACGTGTTTGAGCCCAGCCTGAGCAACCTAGTGAAACCCTGTCTCTAACAACAACAACAACAACAACAACAACAACAATGGGCTGGGGATTAAATTAATAAATAATTGGACTTTCCCTATTCCCTAATCACTCTTTCCCTATTCTCCACTTATTTAGTAGTAAAATATGGCTACAAGAATGTTAAGACTAGAGGAAAGTGAAGTACACTACTGGAAAGACCTCACACTATATGCATGAGGTGATGTAGCATTATCTAAAGATAGATTGTGATTAAATTCAAAGACGCATATTATCAACCCTAGAGCAGTCGCTGAGAACATAAATGATCAAACCATCAGTGGAAATAAAAGTAGAGTTTTTGAAATACTCATAGTGGGAAACCAATAAACAATTACCAAAACTGAAACAAAAATGAGATTGCCTGACTCCTAGGATTGTGCTCTTAAGATAGCAAACAATGTGCTACATGAACAGCTAAGAAAGGGCTCAGGATTTAGCCCAGTGGTTCCACTGCCTGCTTCACAAATGCAAGGTCCCAAGTTCAATCCCTGGTACCAAATAAAAAAGAACATCTAAGAAAGATTTCTCAGAAGCAAGAGAAGCTTAGCATGACTGTAAGAGCTGAGAAGTATTTGGGAAGGAAAAGGAGTAATCTAGGAAAGGAAACTGGATACGCGAAGGTGGAAAATGGATGCAGCTTTCCACTTCTATAACAAATACCTGACACAATTCACTTATTAAGAGAAAAGGTTTATTTTGGCTCAGTTTCAGAGGTTCGAACCCACAATCTGGGAGACCTATCGCTTTAGGCCTTATGGGGGCATTGTATCATGACGGAGTGTGTGGTGAAATGAAGCCATCCCCTCATGACCAGGGTTCAAAAAGAAAGAGAGCAAGAGGGCTGGGTCCCACCATCCCTGCCAAAGGCACACCTCCAATGACCAGAGGATTTCTTGTTAGGGCCCCCCTGGTGGACCCACCATGACCCAGTAGCCCCAAAGTCTGGGACCAAGCCTTTCCCACACGGGGCTTTGGGGGGACATTCTAGATCCAAAGTACAGCAGTAGGGAAGTGGAGCATTTTTAACTGGAGCACATGATTCATACAGAAAGAACAGAGAAATCTGATGGTTAAATGATGTATGTGCCAGATGGTTTGTGTAGACTTGAGCTAAGGCAAGATGGAAGACTGAAGATCAGCTCACCTCTGAATTAGGCCCTCACCCCAAGCAGCTGCTCTGGATAATGTCTTTATAAGTGGCTATAATTGCCTTTTTTGTAGTTATATTGCAATGTCATGCACTGTGGAGTCTGACTAACCCAGGTGTCTGTCCAAGTCCTTGACTCGGGGATAAATGCTTCTGGGACAAGTTATGTAAATGTAAACAAAGCGTGAGGTCTTTAAGAACAGTTCATTCTCTAAATGATGAGACTGCCAGCCACCGGGTCCTTCTTC